TTTCCACCATCCTGATCCTGGAGCGGGGTGTCAGGACTGACGTTTTTTGAAGCTCATTGACCAGAGACAAACGTTTTTGACAGATAGCTATAAGAAGAGAAACATTGATTCCATTGTTCCCCTTCGCATTTTAAAGGAACAAATATTGACAAAATATCTGAAAAAGGAAACTTTGTTGTTAGACTTGTCTTTAAAAGAAAGAACAAATAGAAGTTTTCCCCTAGAGGGAGACTGTGAAACTGTAACCAACTCCGGGGAGCTTGCAGCTGTTACAGATTACAATCGTGGGAATAGACTTCTGACCTTGCAGGACAATGTATTCAGAAGCTCTGTTGCGTGCTTTCTGTAAAACAAATGCCCTACTGGAACAGCTACATGAGAAGACGGACTTGATGACTGATGCGATCAGAAATTTTGAACAGGCAGTGGGAAATTATACGGAGCCCACCCAGGAATTAAATCAGGAGTGTGCCCTGACAGAACAGATGAGGGAAGAGGATGTTGCTGAATCTTGGGCGCCAGAGATGAAGGGAGCTGTGGCCCAGCAGGAACATGAGCTTTTGGACTTGACAAATGAACTTGGAAAAAGCCAGATTTGGAAAGATAAAGTTTGGTTTGGTTTGGAAATGGGGGGTTGGATAGACCCCCCTATGCAGGGATGTTTGGACCTTTCAAGTCTGGCAATGGGCCGTGAGATGTTTGGGGTTGTGGGGGCTCTTAATTTTGGAGGGATTTTGAAACATGTTCTTAAATACCACATGGAGTTTAGTGTGGACTATGGAAAAGGGGCTGATTTGTCGAGAAGGGTCAAAAACATTGTTAAGCTGGAGTTCCCACGAGTGAAAGGAGCAGGAGACAAAGGAAAATACAGTTATAAATATGAAGAAGAGCTGCGGAAGGGACATGGAAGAGACTTAAGGGCCTCGGATACAAGGTTACCAGGTTAATGCGCTAGATCGATGGGATAATAAGGACTGACAAAACCCGGGACCAGGAGGAAGGGACGCTGGATGAAGACTGGATTGTTTTTATTTCCTTTTTTTACTACTAGGATTGTTTTATAAAATTGATGAATGTTAGAAAAATGTTGGAACGAAATTACTTGGCTTTAGCAAAAATGTTTAAAGAATTATGTAAGAATATTATGGTTATGAGAAGTTGGTAAAAATAAGATTTAAGTTTTAAGCTTTAAGGTTCTTTATAGTAAGATAAGATTAAAATAGATTAAGGTAATGTAATGACAGAATATTATGAAATATGGAAAGGATTTGCTGCGACAATTAACAACTAGGATACAAAAAAAGGGAGGAGGAGGAGGTCAAAGAAAGAAGGTAATGACAGTTGAGGATTTGAGAATGATGGATTTGTTTTTGAGTGTTTGTGGTGTATTTTTGTTTTTTGAATTTGTATTGTTTGATGTGGTTTGTTTTTTCTTTGTTTTTTCTTTCTTTTTTCTGCTTTGTTCTCTTTTGTAATTCTAAAAATTTTCAATAAATATCATTTAAAAAAAAAAATAGAGTTTACCACGAGTGGCAACTCCATTGAGGAGGCAAAACAACAGAACTGTAGTTTCCCACACAAAAATGGTCAAGCCTCCCTCCACAGCGCCACCTTGTGGTCCCTGTGAGTATACCACTAAGACCTCCCACTGTTAGTTCACAGCCCTCGTACTTGATGGCAGTGTTTGCACCCAAGTGTCTATACTTCAGTACATTAAAACACAAGGTGGAATACAAGTCTTAAGAAACAAAGATTTGTAGACAGGGCAGTAGAATAGTTTAAAAAAAAAAAAAAATCTTCAAGTTTAAAGCCTACAGACAACATTACTTACTGGCCACTTGTCCTTTGGGGATGGTGAATTGCAAAGCACGGCTGCAGATGGAGCGTAGGGGTTCTGCTTGCAAGAACCCTCCTTGCTGCAATGCTTCCAGCAGGGATAAGGAAGATGTGGCTCCCCCAGATGTTGCCGGCCTCACCTCCCATCACCCCTGACACTTGGCCATGTTGGCTGGGGCTGATGGGAGTCTGAGCCCAACAATATTGGGTGTCCCATCCATGACCCCTGCAGCTTCAGTCAGCCTAAAACAGGGGAAGTAATCCACCGTGCATTCTTCCTATTTTCACTTTTCATCAAGGCTCACTGTTTCCAGGCTCAGTTCAAAGTGCTGGTTTTGACCTCTAAAGCTCATGTCCCCTATATCTAAAGGACCTCCTTTCCTATATGAACCTGCCCAGACCCTGAGATCATAATCTGAGGTTATTCTGCACATCATTTCCAAGGGAGGTCCAGAGGGTGGCGATGAGGGAACAGGCCCTCTCAGTGCCAACCTTGCCATCGTTTCAGCAGCAGGTAGGAGGATTTTTGTTTTCCCAGACATTTGGGCCAAGCCGATGATACCATGATGCCCTATTTGTTAAATCTGCTTCTAATTACATTTATCGTGTGATTTTATCGCGGCACTTTTTACTAGGTTGTAAATCACTTTACAGTGATAAAGGGACGCGGGTGGCGCAGTGGGTTAAACCACAGAGCCTAGGACTTGCCGATCGGAAGGTCGGCAGTTCGAATCCCTGCGACGGGGTGAGCTCCCGTTGCTCAGTCCCAGCTCCAGCCAACCTAGCAGTTTGAAAGCACAAAGTGCAAGTAGATAAATAGGTACCGCTCCAGCATGAAGGTAAACGGTGTTTCCATGTGCTGCTTTGGTTCGCCAGAAGCAGCTTAGTCATGCTGGCCACATGACCCGGAAGCTGTCTGTGGACAAACGCTGGCTCCCTCGGCCAATGAAGCAAGATGAGCGCCGCAACCCCAGAGTCGGTCATGACTGGACCTAATGGTCAGGGGTCCCTTTACCTTTACCTTAAATCACTCTGGGACTTTTTGTAAGAGGGCCACAATACGTAAAATTTAATAAACCTAATGCTAAACCAAGTGGCAATGTAAAAACTGAGACCACCGCTAACTACTGATTGTCTGCAAAGAATCTCAGAGGCCCAACACCAGAAACTTAATCAGCAGCACAAGGGAAGCTAAATCTATTAATGAGCATCCTCTGCTTGTTGTTTTTATGCACATTGTGTTAATTGCATGCAAATTAAATATGCAGAGAGACAAAGTTCCTCCAGCCCTATTATACCCTGCTGGCATGTTCACTGGAGCTGGAAAAACTGTCCAACTACGCTTCTGAAGAAAGGGGGTGGCGAAATAACTGAGGTATGGTGCATATTTGTGGAAAGGACACTAATGGGAACCAGGAGACAAGATACTACTAACCCGTACACTGTAGCGCTCTATTCTGTGGAGAGCAAAAGGGTCAGCTTCACCACACCTGATAGCCTTTGAATGACAAACATTTATAAAATATCTCTTACAGAAAGGTAATGCAGAGCACGCAATGTCCTGATATAACTAATGATATTCTCCAAAGAACAGGTAGATCAAAACCTTGCCTTTTCAGGGAAGCTTTCCAGATTACGGTTTCAGTCCTCCTCATCGGGTGAGGAAGTTTTGGATTGGTTGGGATCAAAGGGCCCCCTCCCTACTTTGAAAACTACACAAAGTGGCAAGAAAAAACGGGCGCAGCCGTTTCAAAGTCTGAAAAGCAGAATCACAGTCTCTGTGTCACTCTAAGAAGAGCTGTTCTTTTTAATGTATATAGCAGGGAGCTTTTGAGCTCAGCCAAAAGCAGCAAAGGCTTCAGGAGATGCTCACTGTAAGGGCTCTGTTTTTTAAGTGGGGCTGTTTCACCGCAGAACCGGTTCTGGAGGAAAACGGGAGAATCAGTGCTGAGACCAAGAGTTGATCTATGTCCGGCAAACTCACGCCAAACAGACTGGACCACTTCAGACTGCAGGTGGTGGGGGTTTGTCACATTTTTGCATACCCTCCCACATTCCTTTGAAACACTTCCGTTTGCAGAAAACTAGCACATCAGAGGAAAAGGTTGTCTCCGATACTCTTTGGCTACTGGCCAAAATGCCCAGGCTCCACCTCCACTCTCAGAGAGGCATTGTGCCTCTGAATAATAGCTGCTGGGGAACCCAGGTTGGGAGAGTGGCTGTTAATCTCAAGTCCTGTTTGCTCACAGGCATCTGGCTGACCACAGTGAGAACAGGATGCTGGACTAGATGGGCCATTGGCCTGATCCAGCAACCTCGCCTTGTGTTCCTAATGTGCTTTTTTTAATAATAAAAAATGAACAAGGCGTTTGATCAATGTGGAGGTCTTTAAAATACGAAACCCCACTCCCACCTGCATTCTGGAGCAGAGCCATCAAGAAAAATCACTGCCATATGCTTCTGCCATTTAGCCCAGATATGTCCCCTTTGGGATGGAAGGCAGTGGTACCTCGGGTTAAGAACTTAATTCGTTCCGGAGGCCCGTTCTTAACCTGAAACTGTTCTTAACCTGAAGAACCACTTTAGCTAATGGGGCCTCCCGCTGCTGCCGCGCCGCCGGAGCACAATTTCTGTTCTCATCCTGAAGCAAAGTTCTTAACCCGAGGTACTATTTCTGGGATAGCGGAGTCTGTAACCTGAAGTGTCTGTAACCTGAAGTGTCTGTAACCCGAGGTACCACTGTATCTAGATCTCAAGAAGCGGAATTGATCCGAAAATCACCAGCTGATGTGCTGGTAAGCTGGCAATTGGTGAGATGTCCATCGGGCTCCCCTCCATTTCCGTCCCATTCCCACCCCACCAGGCTTTTTCGCCCGCTAGCTTCCAAAGGGGCTTGTGTGCTTCTGAAAAAGACTCCCCAGCAGGGAACCCCCTTTCCCCCTCTACGACAGAGCTTTCCAAACTTTCAACGTCGGTGACACGCTTTCCAGACGGGGCGTCATTTCGCAACACGGCAATCCAGTTCCACTAGCAAACCGGAAGTTAAACGGACCTGATTTCCAGCCCCGGGAGGAGCGTTCACGGCGACACGCCTGGACACCATGGCTGACACACTGAACGTGCCGCGACACGCAGTTTGGAACGCTCTGCCCTCCGGCAACCTGCTAGCTCAGTGGGGCCGAGTAGGCCAGTATGGGGTAGTCCGCCTTGTGGATCTTCTCGTGTCTCTTGTGGTGAGAGCTGTGGCTGAAGCTCTTGCCGCAAAACCGGCAGGAGTACGGTTTCTCCCCGGTGTGGATCCTCTGGTGCTGCACCAAGGTAGATTTGTCGGTGAACCTCTTCCCGCAGCTGGAGCACACGTAGGGCTTCTCGCCCGTGTGGATCCGCTGGTGCCGGAAGAGGTTGGAGCTGACGCTGAAGCTCTTCTCGCAGACGCTGCACTGGTAGGGCTTCTCGCCGGTGTGGATGCGCATGTGTTTGATGAGGTCGGCGTTCTGGCTGAAGCTCTGCCAGCACTCGGTGCAGGTGTTCAGCACCTCCACCTTCCTCCGGGGCTTGGGCTTGGCGCTGGCTGCGCAGGCCCCGTCCGCCTGGGCGGCGGCGCCCCCCTTGCCCAGCTTCTTCCCCGGCGGGTGGCGCAGGTGGTGCTTCTTGTGGGAGCTGCGGCTGAAGCTCTTGCCGCAGTCGATGCATTTGTAGGGCTTCTCGCCCGTGTGGATCCGCTGGTGCTGCGTCAGGTTGGACTTGTCGTTGAACCGCTTGCCGCACTCGCCGCACTTGTAGGGCTTCTCCCCCGTGTGGATCCGCTGGTGCCGGTTGAGGCTGGAGCTCACCCCGAAGCTTTTCCCGCAGTCGGGGCATTTGTACGGCTTCTCGTCGGAGTGCGTGCGCCGGTGGTTGACCAGGCTTGAGTTTTGGCTGAAGGTCTTCCCACACTCGATGCAGATGTTGGGCTTCTCCTCCGCCGGAGCGCCCTGCTGGCACACCACAAAGTCCTTGCGTTTGCGGATGCCTTGGACGGCTTTCGCGGCGGGCCGGGCGCGAGGCATCGCCTCTTCCCCTCCTCTAGTCTTGCTGTTGCTCTCGCGGGGCTGGCTGCACTCGGGATTGGGGGTCAGCATCTTGCGGGCCTTTCAGAGGAACGGGCTTTGCAAACCGTCTTCCATGGCACTGTATCCTCTTCTGCGTGGCTCCCGGTACCTGCAGAAGCATCATAATAAAAGATCAGTCAGAGTCACTTACGTTGAATGCTCATGTTATGCATATTGACACAGATTTAGAGACCTTCGCTACTCGTGCCCAGATTGGTATGGGAGCTGCTCCACCGAGATGTGAGCCCACGCCTTTGCAATGCAGGAAGAGTCAAATCAGGTGGGTTTTCCCTAAACAGCCTCAGTCCTGTATACCTGAAGGGGCGTCTCCACCCCCATCGTTCAGCCCGGACACTGAGATCCAGCGCCGAGGGCCTTCTGGCGGTTCCCTCACTGCGAGAAGTGAGGTTACAGGGGACCAGGCAGAGGGCCTTCTCGGTGGTGGCGCCCGTCCTGTGGAACACCCTCCCTTCAGATGTGAAGGAAATAAGCAGCTATCTTATCTTTAAAAGACATCTGAAGGCAGCCCTGTTCAGGGAAGTTTTTAGTATTCAATGCTGTATTGTTTTTAACACTCAATTGGAAGCTGCCCAGAGTGCCAGAGTGGCTGGGGAAACTCAGCCAGATGGGCGGGGTATAAATAAATTATTATTATTATTATTATTATTATTATTATTATTACTATTATTTATATATTGCCCTTCGCTTGAAAGATCTCAGGATGGTTCGCAAGATAAAAATACAGGGTAAAAGCATAAAATAAAAACAAAACAGTAAAAAAAAAATACATCCATTCATTCATTTTTAAAAAACACATTTAAAAGGCTGTAGAATATGAATCGGCCAAAGGCCTGGTTGAAGAGGAATGTTTCTGCCAGGTACCTAAATATCTGTAATGAAGGCACCAGCCGAACCTTTCACAAACAGGAAGTCGTTGCAAAAAAGGCTTGTGTGTTGCCACCATCCAGACCTCATGTGGAGGAGGCACATAAAGAAGGTCTTCAGATGAGGAACAGAGAGTCCATAGCACCACAAGGACATATTCCCCACACTGTGATGCATCTATAACAATGAGGACAAAGTATGGTTGCGTATACACTATACCTTTAAATTACAAATGGCATTTCCCCTGCCAATGAATTCTGGGCACTGTAGTTTGTTAAGGGTCACTGAGCATTGTAACTCTGCGAGGGGTAAACTACCGCACCCAGAATTCACTGAGGGAAAGAATATTCCTTACAGGTAGCGTGTGTGTACGCAGCTTCATTTCCAAGTAAAGGACATGTGTTTTTAGCTTATTGTTAATTTCAATTATATTTTTAATGTTTTAATATTTTAACTGTTTCATACTGGCAATTTTATCGTTTTGTTCTTTCTGCAAACCACGTTGAAGTTTTATTACATTCAAGCGGCGGAAAAATAAATGCTCCAATAATAAAACTAAACATACTCAGAGTTGCAGCATGAAATGCATACATGAGTTCACTCATATGAAGCCAGATGCACGGCACTTTTCTATTCCAGGTTAACTAAAACAGAATAACTACTGCTCCCTAGTCCTATTCCAGGAGTTATGCTCACAAATAAGTCAACAACACAAGCAAGGTGCAAGAGTTACCCTGAGTAGCTGTAGTTCTGACACCATGCATGCTGATTAACCCCTCTCTCCCCAGCATCCATGCACACAGCACAACATCTGCAGGGCTTTGGCACATGCAGATGTTTGCATACTGTGAATACCAGAAGGTGGGACGCCTTGATGCGCACAGTGTCCACGGCAAGGGGGCTATTCTGTACCTACCCATGAGTATAATGCCTGAACACGGCTCCAGATCCATTTACCAATTTTTCTATCCTTCCTTTCATCCAGTAACAATCCCAGGGGGTGAGTTGCGTAGAAAACCACCAAACAATACAATTCACGAAATGATGAGAGCAGGCGGAAATATCAGAACTGACACAAACGCGCCACTCACGATGCCAAAACCGCCTTGAAAGAAACCTGCAGGCAGTATCACAACTTAACAATTCAGCTTATTGTTTCAGTAAACTCCCTTACTGAACATGGGTGAAGTGGTAATGTTTTCAGGCGGGACCAAAATGCAAAGCAGTGGCGTAGCGTGGGTTGTCAGCACCCGGGGCAAGGCAAGTAATTTGCGCCCCCTAACCCCTAACCTGCCGCCGCTGCCAGCTTCTTCTTGCTGCTGCCTGGGCTGGTCTGGTCTGGTGTGGTTCTCTCCCGCGCTCAGCGCTGCGCTGGGCGGCCCTCCCCCAGATAGTCCCTCGCGCTCTCTCCGCACCGCACGCCTGGCACCCACCCCCTCCACAGTGGGCGGCGACCCAGCGGCTCGGATCGGATTCGCACAGCCAGCACTGCAGTGAGAGAGAGTGAGTGAGCCAGGTAGGGGCAGAGAGCTGCGAGTGCGAGCGCGCGCCCCCCAGATGTTGCGCCCGGTGCGGCCGGCCCCCCCTGCACCCCTCACGCTACGCCACTGATGCAAAGTCAGCCCAAACGTAACTGAGAGGGGCAGGCCTTCAATAAATGGAGGGGGGCACTCCTCCAGGGAAGACCACCTGAGGCATCTCCTCCCATAATGCGACTAGAAGACCACCCCTGAAGAGGGAGTGAAGAGGGAGGCTGGTATAGGGAGAGTTGCTTCTTCAAGTACTAGGATCCCGACTAAACATCAGAAATAACTTTCAGACGCGACAGTGATGCGGTCTCCCTCCCTCTCCTTCCTTGGAGGATTTTAAGCAGAGGTTGGATAGCCATCTGTCGTGGATGCTTTAGCCGAGTTTCCTGGATGGCAAGGGGTTGCATTAAATGACCCTCGGGGTCCCTTCCAACTCCACAATTCTATTAAACCATCTCGACAGCATGCCCCAAGGGGCCACTAGGCTTATCTGCGCCACATTTGCCAAGCCTGTGCAGACAGGCAGAGAATCGCGCTCAGGCTACACCCCAGGCACGCTGATCTGGCCGTCGAGTCTCCTCTTTTTAACAGACGACGTGCGCAAAATCGCACTGCGATGTTGCAAGCAAGCGTTACCTGGGCTCGAGGCCCTCGGACGGAGACTTGACTTCGGAGTGGACTCCGCTTTCCAAGCTAGCCGCCCCCCTCGCTGCATCGACTCCGGCGTTTGTCCCCCTTCCTTCTCCCGCCTCCCCCCCCCCCCGCTGACACCCCTTTTGAACCCACCCGCGCACCCACTGCCGTGGCCGCTAACCTGCCAGTGGGCGATTCTCCCTCCTTGGGTGCCCAACTCAAAGGGGGTCCAGAGTGGCAGCAACAAACCGCGTCGCCTTCGGGGGTCACACGCGCGGGAGCCCCCTCGGAGGGAGGCTCCCCGGCTTGCCTCCACCGCACGGGTGGGGGGTCACCCCCCCAGCGCCCAGCAGGCGCGGCTCTGGGGGTCCCCGGGTGGCGTCTCCGGAGCGCGGCGTGCGCAAAAGGCGCCTTCCCTCTCCAAAAGGCGCACCGACTTCTCCGGGCTCGCAACGGAGGAAGCAGCTGCAGACCCTGACCTAGGAAGCGCAACCCAGGCCTGAGCCGACGAGGAGAGCCGAGCAGCCGCCGCAAGAGCCCTCTGGCGGCCGCAGAGCAAGCAGCCACCTCCGCCCGTCTGTGCGTCCCCGTCGGGCCGCCAGCGCCTCCGCTTCCTCCAGCGCCTCCACTCCGCCCGCTCCCGGTTTAATTTCTAAAATTAGAGGCCTGGAGCTCGGGCTTTGCTAATCCCAGAGGAGAGGGCGCCTAAGGCACGCGAGGGCGGGAAAGGCGCTCTTGGCATGCTCAAAGGAAACGTTTCGCAGACCCTCCAAGTGTCCCTGTTTTCCAGGGACAGTCTCGGATTTACAGAAGCCATCCTGCTTTCTGATTTGATTCTGGAATGTCCCATTTTTCCTCTGGGCGTCCCTATTTTCATGGAGAAATGTTCGAGGGTACGCGCTTGTTACGCTGCGGGCTCCTGGCTGGAGGAAAAAGCAGGAGCTGTCACTCAGCCCAGAATCCCATGAGAGTCTGGCCTTCGAAGGACATGACAGAAAATTCTCTTCCCATGACATACGTTCACAGATGCATTCACGTCTTCCAATATGCTCTTGTGTACTCTCTCCTCACCATGCTGGAGAAACAGAGGATATCCTGTCCCTTTGTCCTTTCTCAGTTTTGACAAAACATTTTTTTAAAAAATCTTTATTGTTCAATAATAATAATAATAATAATAATAATAATAATAATTTATTTGTACCCCACCCATCTGACTGGGTTTCCCCAGCCACTCTGGGCAGCTTCCAACAAAGATTAAAAATACATCAAAATGTCACACATTAAAAACTTCCCTGAACAGGGCTGCCTTCAGATGTTTTCTAAATTTCTACTAATTTATAGTAGTAAATGTTGGTATCAGAACCGAAAACATAAATGTTTTGAAATCCCCGCCTTCAAACGCTTGTGCCTGAGAATACAACCATATTCTGGAAAACAAAACAGTACTTTACAAAACAAAAGACAGATCACCAAAAACGTAGCTGAGAAACTTTGCAGCCTTTGAAGCAGCAGGTTGCTGGTGGGGGGGCAGTAAAAACAAAAAGTAGAAGAATTTGGAATAACCAGATTTCCAAAGTTTTTTCCTTCACCTCTGCTGAAGGCTTCTCTTAAAATGCTGAGCTAAAGCGAAATAAGGTGGCATCAATAGAATCTAATCCCCTCTTAAAGGCAGGCGGAAGGGCAAAAGGGACTTTCATTGCTCCAAATATAACCTCATCCACCCACTGCAGCCATCTCTGGCTCAATTTGGACTGTGTGTTTTTAGCAAGAAGAGCACATATGAGAGCACTCCTGCCTCTGCTCACCCAACTGAAAATGCAACAAAGAAATCAGTCGCACACAAATTTCACCCAGGACTGGGGGAGCAAGGAAGAACAGACCAGAAAAAAGGAGGCAAATAACAATAAGAGAAAATGCTGACATTTCCCTAGGAAAATTAGCACCGCCTGTACCACTGAGATGCCCTCCGATCTAGTCTTCTCCATTGATGGGAAAGACGCAAACTACAGGCATGCAGCGGGAAGTGGGATCGCGCTGAACAGATATGGGATGGTTATGCCTTCTCACAGCCTGGAGAGATTTGCTGGGACCAACGCAATACGACCTACAGGCTGGGATGGAGGGAATCCATCAGAGTTATGGGGTGGGCTCAACTAGAGTTGTGTGCTGAGGTCAGATTTGCCACTGACCTGTCATGGCCAGGGACTAACTGGAATTCATTGGGTAGCACCCAACCTACCAGATGTGGGCAGCCAGCCTACCAGATGGGGGCAGCTTGCCCAGTAGCAGGGTATTGAGTTGGCGCATTTGGGGAATGGACGGATGCCATCTGATTCTAGCTATGGTGGCTGTTTGTTAAGTCCTAATGCTGCCTGTGATCAATGGGTTCGCTATGGCAGGGGTAGGTAAGTTTGCTGAGAGTATGCTGGGGTTTCTAAACACCATGGCACTGGGGCCTTGCCAAGAGAACAACTGGGTGGTATCATAGAATTGTTTCAAATATAATCATAACTGCCTATCCGTTTTAGAATAAGATTTTATATGCTTTGTATCAAGATGTAGTTTTTCAGTTTCATTGTTCTGCATGGGACAATGACAATAAAGATATTGTATAGCATATCGTATATCGATGGTGCCAAGGCAGCCAGTTTGGAACGCGGATCGCGGTGGGTCATCATAGCCCAGCAGTTGGTTCCAAAGGTTTGGCGTTGCTCATCGCTAATACAGTAGAACTTCGACTTACGTACGGCTCTACTTACGTACGATCCCAGTTACGACCTTCAGTAGGTGCTTCAACTTATGAACTTTCCTCTAGATATGAACAGAGGCCTTGTCACACTTCTTTGAAGTCTCTCAGCCCCACTCACCTCACAGAGTGTTTGTTGTGGGGGAGGAAGGGAAAGGAGAATGTTAGCCGCTTTGAGACTCCTTAAAGGGAGTGAAAGGCGGGATATCAAATCCAAACTCTTCCTCTTCTTCTTCTTCTTCTTCTCCAGTGCCAGGGAGAGGGCCCCCATCCCACCCCCGAAGCTGTGGAAGAGGTGCCACCTGCAAGAAGCAAAGCAGGGCGCACTGCAGCCCCAAACCCCGCTGAGAAACTAACCTGAGGAAGTCCAGAGAAGAACCTGGCCTGGCAAGGAAAAAAAGTGACCCTGGCCGAAGTGAACCAGCTCTTTACTGACCCTTGCCCCACCCCCAGCTTGTAGCCAGGTAAGCCCACCCACCCTCAGTGCACGTTAGGGTCAACAGTAATGAAGTAGATGGGCCAATGGTCTCAATGAGTATAACACAACTTCCTATGTTCTTATATTATCAGAGAAGCCAACCAGACTTGTCCAAGCTCACTCACTTCTAACAAACAGTTAAGGACCTTAAGAGATCCTCTCTTTTTCTGTTTTGCATGCCCCTTCATTAGATATCTCTTTATTCTGCTGCTCAATATAAATACTCTGCACGGTCTCTGAAGCGGAATGATGAGAGCCATAGTCCATTAATATCTGGAGGACTTCTGCCTTATCTCCTGATCACCCACCACAGGAACCAAAGGACACAAGTAAAGAAACTCAGCGGACATTAACCAAAAAAAAAAAAAGCGCCATTTATTTTGTTTGAACGAAATGTACAAAGGTGCTCAAATTAATGTTTCCCACAACATCAGCCTGGAAATCCATCCTAGTGCCAAGCATCCAGGGAGAGTGAATGCTTTTGTTGCCACGTAGTCGCGTCAAATCTGCTACTTTTTACCAGATTTCTTAATCCCACCTCCAGCTGCAAAAGGAAATACATTACTATCAGGCTTAGGAAAGAAAGAGAGTTAACATGTGGTACTAGAAGCAAAATCCAGAAGTCCATCTCTCATCCTGGACTTACTAAGGACCACATTGGATAAATTGCTTTTCTCCTCATTTTAAACTGTCTTTAACACTGTGTTTAAATTACACGACAGCGATGGCTAATAGCATAGTTATTGCGAAGGGAAAGGTATTCTATGGTGGGGGTGGGAGCAGCAGCTAGGTTCCACCAAGGCTACGATAAATCCACACCTTTATTCAGCGTCAGCATGATACAAACTGTAAGGCACAAGGTGGTGAATGGCAGCGAGACATACTGTATATGCACGTGGTCTTGTCCTTGTGTTTGAACACTGCCACAAAAAGTGCATTAAGAACATGAGAGCAGCCTGCTGGATGAGGCCAATGGTCTATCTAGCACAGCATTCTGTCTTCACAGTAGCCAACCAGTTGCCTCTTGAAGCCACAAAGCAGGACCTGAGCTCAACAGCACTCTCCCAGCCTGCAGTTTCCCGCAAGTTGTATTCAGAAGCATTCCTGCCTCCGGTCGGGGAGACAAAGTATAACCAACATTGCTAGCAACCATTTACCTCCATGAATTTGTCTAATCCTGGCTGAATCCAATGCTAGTCTTAGTCAGCACAGACCTATTGAAATTAATGAATTTGAATTAGTTGTGTGCATTAATTTCAGTGGTTCTACTCTAAGTAGGACTAGCATTGGATGAGACCCATTGTTAATTGAGATACCCAAGACTCGAGTTATGAGGCAAGCGACATGTTATGCTATTTACTATCAACGGTGCCTTCAGGCATTTTGGGGAGGAGGGCACGGAAGAGAATAAAATTAAATAGGAAACAGGCAAGTGTAAGCACAAGTTTCTAAAAGCAGTGAACAACCTACCATGTTAGATCTGTTAGGCTTGGCACATTAGCCCTATTTCCCTAACCTTGAGCTCCTCCCAGCGTCTATGTCTGCCCAGCAGTCAGATCGCTCAAGGTAATTCTTCATTTGCATACAGTTTTAGAGAAAGCCACTTACTAAGTGGGCCCTTGCCAGCTGCTTTTGCCTTCAACTCTTCAAGTTTCTTCTGCTCTTCCTTCTGTTTTTGCTTGAACGCTTTGTCTTCCTGTTGGGACATTTGTAAGTAACAGCGTGAAAAAGCAACGAACCGGAATTATAAATCCACAATGACAACCGAACGATGTCAAAATGAACTCTGACTTCTTTCCTTCCGAAAGGGGAGAAGGGCACTCCTTTCAAAAAGCAGCTGTCGGCACAAAACACACAGTAGTCTAGCCGGCTCATTCTGGAGTGACCACGGATAACGCTATTAGGGATTGGAAGAGCAGTTATGTGGAGCCCACAATACTCATAGTAAGATGCTGCCTCACCAACCATCTCCTCTCCCCGTATTCCTAAATCACAGTTTCTCCACAGTACCACCACCCTTCCTTCACTCTACACCCCCTTACACGTTTCTCACCTCATCCATTTCCTTTGCTTGCTTCTTGGGCTGTTTCAAAGGTTTCTTCTTGCCACCTGCGGGAGAAGGGAGAGAGAGAGAGAGGTGATAAGAGACAGACTCCGGGGCAATGGCAGGCAATTAGGAGAGAGTCTTGTGGCGTCTTAAGAAATCAACCCGTTTCATAACCTATGCCATGCTCCCACTGTTCTTTGCTTAAGGCGAGAGGGGCCCTGGGGTTTTGAATATTAGGATTTTGGATATTGCAGGTGCCATTGTGGGGTCTCAGGAAAAGCCAGAGGCCTGTTCTTGTCCTGTTTTGTTGGTTAGCCTAACTGATGCCATTTTGCTTCTGTAAAAAACTGCCTGCTTTAGAATTTAGGAGGGTGAACCACAAATATGTCAAGACCTGATAACGTTGCTAGGTGATTTTCAGGAAAATCTCCCTCTGCCGGGCAACTCTCCCCTTCAAGATCTCCAGGCAGGGTGTCCTGTTTCGATCAGTGCAAGGAACCTCGAAAGGGGAAAAGGGAGGGGCATGCCTATAAAAAGTATGAACAAAGGCTGTTTGGGGTGGCTTCACAAACACACTGGTGAGTGTGGCTTCCCCGATCTGTTTTGTTGTTGTTGTTTAGTCGCTTAGTCGTGTCCGACTCTTCGTGACCCCATGGACCAGAGCACGCCAGGCACTCCTGTCTTCCACTGCCTCCCGCAGTTTGGTCAAACTCATGCTGGTAGCTTCGAGAACACTGTCCAACCATCTCATCCTCTGCCGTCCCCTTCTCCTCGTGCCCTCCATCTTTCCCAACATCAGGGTCTTTTCCAGGAAGTCTTCTCCTGTTTCCTGCTTGGCAGGGGGTTAGACTCGATGGCCCTTGTGGTCTCTTCCAACTCTATGATTCTATGATTCTCTTCTCATGAGGTGGCCAAAGTATTGGAGCCTTAGCTTCACGATCTGTCCTTCCAGTGAGCACTCAGGCCTGATTTCCTTCAAAATGGAGAGGTTTGATCTTCTTGCAATCCATGGGACTCTCCAGAGTCTCCTCCAGCACCTTAATTCAAAAGCATCCATTCTTCGGTGATCAGCCTTCTTTCTGGTCCAGCTCTCACTTCCATACATCACCACTGGGAAAAACCATGGATTTAACTATACGGACCTTCCGCTCTGTTTTACGCTGCTGAATAAACGAGTGATGGTGGGAAATCTCCTCTGTCTATGGCATTTATTGGCTTTTCAGTGACCAAGGCAGCTTGGGCCCGATTAGCGGACCCCAACACCATCCCCTTGCCGTGTGGGTCCCAGGAGATGTGGCTGCTGTTATTTAAGGCCGGGTTGTTGAAGAAGGCGCGCAGCTGGCAGTGGGACCCGAAGCCGCGGTCCCTCCCAGCGAGACCTTTTCCCCGCTCAGCCCCACAACCCATGAGGCGCCCCCTCCCACTGCCTTCCCACCAGCAAATCCCTGCCAACGGCCGCCCGCAGCCTTCCCGCCATCACTGCCCCTTCACCGAGATTCATTACCGTCGCGTCCCGACATGATGCTGCCTCCTCGCTTGCTGGCTCGCTGCTCCCCGACCCTCCGCTCGCTCCGACACCCGAAGGCCCTGACGCCGGGGAGGAAAGGAAAAGGAGAAGCACCAAGCAGTCGCAGGTATGACGCAAGGAATCACTTCCGCCCGGCCCGGAAACACCACTTCTGCCATAGAGGCAGAAAGGGCTAGAGAGACTATGGAGATAGACGGGGAAAGGGCTAGAGCGACGTTTAAGAAGGCTATAGCGAGAGGCCATAGAGATAGACGGGTAAAGGTCTAGAGCGACGCTCAGAATGCTAGCGAGACCATAGAGATAGACGGGGAAAGGCTAGAGAGACGTCTAGAAGGCTATAGCGAGGGACCATAGAGATAGAAGGAGAAAGGGTAGAGCGACGCCTAAAAAAAATCATACGGTCCGTTCGGAGAGTTGAGCGTGAATAACTGGTTCAGTTTGAAAGATGGAATTCCCCACAGAGAACACCTCTAGAAGGTTTCGGCCTCCCACACGATCCAGTCGCTTGCTTTCCATACCTTTACCTCTCACCATACAGATATCAAGGGGGTAGAGTGGCACCGCTCTGCGTCCTTTTAGCGAATCACGGTCTACGACGACTTCCGATTATCCGTCCTTGGGGGATCCGTGTCACTTTATATTTTTCCTATCTCTACAGACGCGGATCTTCTACGTCTATTTCCAGCGACCCCCATACATTACATCCGCCCGGACTTTATCATGGTGTTTTAGCTTCTGTTTGCCCGGCATTTGCAAGTCCTATGGTAGACTGTGAGCTGGAGTTGGAAGAAGAAGAGGGAAAGAAAGAGAGAGAGTGAGAGGTGCGGCGGGTGGGGGAGCGGGAGGAAAATCCTGCGCTGCTGCTGTTGCCATACAGCAAAAGTGGGGCGAGAATGGAGGGAGGGGGAGAGGAGGGGAGCAGCGCCCCCAAGGAAAAGGCGGGGCAGGAGCAGAGCACTGAACTGCTGGGAATCCGACCAGCATCCAAAGGTCCCCTCAAAAGTGGGAACAGGGACGGCCACTTTAAAAAATGCTTTCACTAAATTTCAGTTACAGGTAGGTAGCCATGTTGGTCTGCTGTAGTTGAAACAAAATAAAATAAATAAAATAAAATAAATCCTTCCAGTAGCACCTTAGAGACCAACTAAGTTATTGGTATGAGCTTTCGTGTGCTCATGAGTGTATCTGAAGAAGTGTGCATGCACGCGAAAGCTCATACCAATAACTAAGTTACCTGGTCTCTAAGGAGCTACTGGAAGGAATTTTTTAATTATTTAATTTCATTTGTTTTGTTTTGATTAAATTTCAGGTTTCCAATGTGGCTTACAGCAGTTGTTGTTGTTGACAATGGAGTGCACCTCCAGGGTGAAGTTAAACCGCTGACTTAGCAGCACCAAAGTGACTTCCCCGGGGTACAAGCCTGGGCAGTGTGTCTGGCGGTCCTGAGCTGCCCAGACGACAAGACCACTTGGCCCTACTGATGTGGTCCAAAGGAAAGCAGGGCAATATGTTGCGCAACAGCTTGGCTGCAGGATTTGCCAGTAGGGCAGGGCCATGTCAGGTTTTCAGCGTCGCAATCTGGTGATACATTGCAACGTTGAAAGGGAGGAACAAGCTGCCTCGTTCCTGGACCACGAGGTGTCATAGACAAGGCAGCTTGTTCCTGCCACGGACTCAGTTTGCAGGGCTCCCTCCGCCTTCACAGGCAGGGGATGGGAACACCTCTTTGTCCAAAAGTGCGAGCAGCTCCTTTAAAACGCTGCCCTGAGGGCCACGTGGTTGCCCATACCTTATCAGAGCAGTTTCATGAACCCCCACAACCAAACTGAACATATAAATAAGATCTAAAATAAAGATACAAAAAATTAATATGACTACCAGCAACAAAACCCTCTAAACTGTACCCCGTCCAATTTATTCAGCATTATTTGGTATTATTAACCAGGAATTGAAGTTTAAATATTTAGGGCAGGGATGGGGAACCTAGTACCCTCCAGCTGTTGCTGGACTACAATCTGGTCATTCCTGATCGGATTGGCCAGGATGGCTGGGACTGATATGTGTTGGGAGTCCAGTAAACATCTGGAAAACAGCAGGTTCCCCATCCCTTGTTTAGGTGATCATTTGGACAATTGCAAAAGAAAAAATTATGATGCAAGACTGTTTTTGCTTTGGTACCTTCAAAACATGCTGTGGATCCATGTACAGTGGTATGTCGGGTGAAGAACTCAATTCGTTCTGGAGGTCCGTTCTTAACCTGAAACTGTTCTTAACCTGAGGTACCACTTTAGCTAATGAGGCCTCCCACTGCCGCTGTGCGATTTCTGTTCTCATCCTGAAGCAAAGTTCTTAACCCGAGGTACTATTTCTGGGTTAGCAGAGTCTGTAACCTGAAGTGTGTATAACCTGAAGCATATGTAACCCGAGGTACCACTGTAATTCTCTGTGTTCAAGGAAAACATTTGCTGATCCTGGAAGTGAAAGTGACAATTAAATATTGCAAAGTCAATTTAAATACTTACCTAAATGGCCATTCTGCATCGAAGGGACACTGTTTTAAGAGGTTTGTTTATGGCTCTGGGTGATTGTTTTTCTCCTTCTTCTTTGCACCTGTATCCTTGCAGATATTTTCCACCATGACTGGAATCTATGGTCAGTTTTGATGACGTGTCATATGGTGTCTGTTGTGACCCATGAGCCAACAACATGCAACATCACAATTTGATAGCTCTGAGGAATCACAAAATGCGGCTACATATAGTGAGAGCCTACTGCTCTCCAGCTTCCAAGAGGCCTGAAGCCAACACAGCTGTGGAAGTGGCTACAAATGTTCTTTATCGCTTATCAGAAGCTGGGAAAGTTTTGGGAAGAAACGCCATTCAGAGAATCTCTGCAACCTCCCAGAGCTGGTGGGACAAGTACGAGGAATTTGTCGGACTTAATGAAGTCCGAGAGGCCCAGGGAAACGTGACGGAGGTAATGACAACATCGTTGGTACATATTGGATAAAATGTATCTGAAGGTCTGCTTTCTGCTGTACAGACTTGCCTGCTTATTTAGATTTAGCAGGTCCTCTGAAATACATCTGGCTGGGACTAAGGAGAGGCCCCTCTCAGTACCCGTCTACCCTGCTTTTGCATTCCTTTTCTAGAATAGTCATCTCGCTACGTGCTTAATGGCCTTTTGCCTTCCTTTTTTAAGCTTCTGGTTAAGTTTTTAAATACTTCTGGAAGCTATTTCAGTTGTTTTATTGCAGGCATAGGCAAACTCGGCCCTCCAGATGTTTTGGGACTACAACTCCCATCATTCCTGACCACTGGTCCTGTTAGCTAGGGATGATGGGAGTTGTAGTCCCAAAACGTCTGGAGGGCCGGGTTTGCCTATGCCTGTTATATTGGGTGCATTTTGATTCCAGTGTTAACCCTGTGCTCTTGTTTTTCCCCCTAGCTTTTTATAAACTGCATTTTTACTCCTCTTCTGTTGTTTTGATTCAGGAATGGGGAACCCATAGTCCTTGCAAATATTGTCAGACTACAGCTTCCACTGACTCCAGCCAGCATGACCAGTGCTTAAGAATGATGGGAGTTGTAGTCCAGCAATATCTGAGAGGTTTCCCCATCTCTGATTTCTTTCATTGTTGTTAGTTGACTTAAAGTATTTAGTGAGTACCTCTTTTTATTGCTGTTTAAGCCTACTGCTCTTAATTTGTCTAGGGTTAATTGATCTGATAGTGGGACGCGGGTGGCGCTGTGGGTAAAACCTCAGTGCCTAGGACTTGCCGATCGCATTTAAATCACTAGTCAGTTAGGCTTGATTTAAATCATTTTTTTTACAGAAAGGTTCAACCTTGCTGGTATCCCCTTAATATTTACAACCAGAGGAAGGTTTCATTTTTGGAATAATAAATTTTCAGAGTAGTTTTTTACAGTTACATCAAAAAGGACTGATTTGGTTATACTATCGGAAATACATAAGCAGATAATTATGAAATAATTATGTTTATATTTGGACAACTTTTCTGCTGTACTTTATTGGAAGGAGAAAAATAATCATTTCCTTAATAACAATTTAAACAATGTATTTAACTAAAACAATAACATTATAGCATATGTATCCGTGTTTGTTAACGGATGTGGTTAAACAATTTTTTAAAAAAAACTTAGACTGGGTTTTAGCACACATGAAAAACTTTAAACAAATCCTTATTTCCTGATGAATAGCCGTTGGACTATAATGTCACAGACAGAAAACTATCTTTACAAAGATTTTTCCTCCAAAAGCATTTTATTTTAAAAATCTGATTTAAATAAAAAAAATCTGATTTAAATAAAAAAAATCCAGTATTTTTATTTTTATTTTTAAAAATCATTTATTTTTATCCACGCTGGCTAATATCACCCGAGCAGCTGTTTTCCCATACATAACAAGTCTTTTCTGATCTTTTGGGATGTCGGTACCTATAATTCCTAATAATGTTTTAAATAAATAAATTTTATAGCAGTACATACAAAAAGGGCATCAGGACAAGAAGATAAACCCGGAGGCGGGGAGCTGTACAAAACATAAAATATAAAATCAATTTGAAAAAGACTACTATAAAGGTACCAACAACTAATCCTAGTTGGACAGCAAAAAAAAAAAAAAAAAGAAATGAAAAAGTCCAAAGGGCACAAGGAGGAGGAAAAGGGCCAAATAAATTGAGTAATCAGATTTGGCTGGAATGAGGCAGTTCATTGTATGAGTGTATAAAGTTTTTTTTAAAAAAACTACCACCATGTGGCCAGAAAAAAATTGTGTTTCATCAGAGACCTCGGAGACTTTAAATCAGTGGTTCTTAACCTGTGGGTCCCCAGATGTTGTTGGACTACAACTCCCATCATCCCTGCGCTCTGGCCTTGCTAGCTAGGGGTGATGGGAGTTGTAGTTCAGCAACATCTGGGGACCCACAGGTTGAGAAAGGCTGCTTTAAATAAACACGTTTTAATTAAATAAGAAAGCATGTCCTTCTTTTACCTATCGACTCCCCTCCTTTCTGTCTTTTACTCTGGCACAGAGTGGATAACAATTGTTTAATACAAGCGCTCCAGCTTCAGTGAGTTAGGCTGCCAAACTTGTAGATGGCAAGTTCATCTTTCCCTTGCCCACCCATCCTATTCTAGGCTGAAAAAAGGTTCATGGTCGCTCGTGGGATTGTACGAGAATCTCGGGAAACCTGGGAGGCCCAGCAGCTCAAACTGAAGGAAATCCGGGACCGTTTAGACAGAGTCTCGCGTGACGACATTCAGTATCTGGAACTGGCGACTCTGGAGCACAAATTACTGCAGGTAAGAGTGTTTCAGAGTCCGGGAGCGGAGTGAAAGGGTTGGGTTTCCGCTTGCTCGCTGTCATTTATTTATCGAAGGTACTTTTTGCCCTTCCTTTTGGAACCGCCTCAACGCAACTTAAAAATGTAAAAGCACTAAAGGTTGCTAAAACAGCAGGTGCAACGATGCTGATGGTTGTTGAACTTCTTTTTTGTTTTTTTTCAATAAGGGGCCAAAACCATTTTCTGATGGTACTGTTTTTTGAAAGGCCTGTCAAGAGTTTTGGTGATCAGCAAACCACCACAGGCATATTAAAGCTCTTCATGCAGAATGGCAGGAATCTAACAATAGGATTTTAGAAATAGGTTCCGGTGGCGTTATTTTTCTCTGTTCATTTGCAAGGAAGCATGTTTCAGCTGAACACTGGGCGTTCCGCTTTTCTGCAGATAGATCACCACATTCAAAAGGATTCCTTATAACCACATTCAAAAGGACTGGCACCGTCGGTCATGCGGTGCTCCCCACAAAAAGAGCTTAACTACTCTGGGCAATCTTCCCCCCATTTTCTTAATTTTGAGTACCCCAAAATAGGAGTTGTCTTATACACGGGACCTGTTATACATGGAAAAATACAGTCCTTTATTTCTGCATTCCAAAATCTTATTCATCTCAATTGCACTCCAGTCAAAATAACAATCCCAAACAACTGCGGTATTAACGGCATCCATTTGTATTAACACATTCAGTGATTTATAAACCTATAGGCCTATCGCTATTCCTTACTTGTAATCTGAGGTGGTACAATTAACAAGGCAAGTGAGTCCCACAGCAAGAGATGGTGTCGTGGACCCCCTGGGTGTGTTCCCCAGACCCCTAATTGGGAACCACTGATCTAATCTGAACCCCTGCAATGCACAGATCCTGCCCACAGCTGTCGCTGGGTGGCCTTGAACCACCAACCTTCTGGTTAACAGCCAGATGCACTGACCAAGAGCGCCACTGGGGCATGGATGAGACAACAGCAAACTTCCCTTCCGTTTTGTAGTCCCAGGACCAGTGTTGAAGTAGGGAAGCAAGTTCCCTTCAGCTGCTCCTTGCTTGGCCAGCGGATGGTGCCACAGTGGCCTTCCCCTTGCTGTGTTGTTTTTTCATGGGAGGCCGAGGATGCAACACTCTGTGGCCCTTATTCCCTTGGCCAGTGGTTGGGGCCAAAGCATGCTTCTCTTTTAATTCAGCTCTGCAGCCCCAGGACAGTGAGCCCCTTCGGTTTGCAGGGTATGGAATATTTTGGCAAGGATTGGCATGATTGTTTATCACGTTGTTATATATGTAGCACCAGCTGTCTGCTTTACAAAGTAGAAGAGGACATCCTTACTGGAGGTGCAGTCCGGTTCTGGGCCAAAGAACAAAGAATGGCTTTGAAGCGTTAACTGTGCAGATCCTAGGCAGCCGATTTGGCCTATTGGAGGACAAAACCCAAGCGCTTCCTTGGAGGAGAGGCTGTGAATATTAAGAGTGCGGAGGCTCCCTCGAGCTATTTAATGCAGAAACTAGACTGGGATAACTCTGTAACCAGGAAAACCATTTTGTAGGGCTTCTGAAAGCCTATTTAGGCTTGCTGGTGTTTCATTTCCCATTCTCCTGACTACGTAGTGCAAGAGCAGAAATTATGATACGATACGATAATCTTTATTGTCATTGTCCCATACAGAACAACGAAATTGAAAAAATCTACGTCAGACATTCAAAAACCAACAAGCCTGCTATCCCAGCTATCCCAGCCTGGTTAGCCCCCTAAAAACTCTGATACCCCATAATTAAATACAATATACTCCCATAGAGACTATCTTACACTGTGTTTAAAACCAAAATCGCATTTGGATAGAAATTGGTGAAATGGCAATCCTGAAAACCCCAGCATTCAGTTTCCAGTATGTTTCTAATCTTGAAACCAAGGGTGGGGATAGCTGGGATAGCAGGCTTGTTGGTTTTTGAATGTCTGACGTAGATTTTTTCAATTTCGTTGTTCTGTATGGGACAATGACAATAAAGATTATTTATTGTCGCAGTGGACTCGTAATCTGGTGAACCGGGTTCGCGTCCCCGCTCCTCCACCTGCAGCTGCTGGGTGACCTTGGGCCAGTCACACTTCTCTGAAGTCTCTCAGCCCCACTCACCTCACAGAGTGAGTGCTGTGGGGGAGAAAGGGAAAGGAGATTGTGAGCCGCTTGGAGACTCCTTCGGGTAGTGATAAAGCGGGATATCAAGTCCAAACTCTTCTTCTTCTTCAAGGGGCTAAAAGTGACCCTCCATATCTCTCCATCTGACCCATGGGGCTCTCCCCAGACCCTCCCCTTCACCAGCCCTCCTTTGCACCCTCCTTGAGTGTTTTTTGCCCTGTCCTTTAACTCTGCTACTGCTGCTTTCTTGCCTGGATGGGCAGCAGATAGAGGAATGGGCAAATGTGTGAAGAAACGAGCCTCTTGTACAAAGGTAACATTTTTTTTGCCTCTGACTCCACCCACCATTCTTCTTTAAAACTTGCATTATGTCAAGCACTTTCCAGTCCTGGAGGAAGCTGGTTTTAGGGACTAGCTGCACTTTTTTTTTTCCTCAGGCAATGGGCCATTTCACATGTTTCTGTTAAGAATTATTGAGCGTATGCTATCACACGCAGCAGGCTGTTAATTTTTACCTTGCCGATTTGCCCTAGTACAGTGGTACCTTGGGTTACAGACACTTCAGGTTACAGACGCTTCAGGTTACAGACTCCCCAAACCCAGAAATATTACCTCGGGTTAAGAACTTTGCTTCAGGATGAGAACAGAAATTGTGCGGCGGCAGCGGGAGGCCCCTTTAGCTAAAGTGGTACCTCAGGTTAAGGACAGTTTCAGGTTAAGAACAGACCTCCAGAACGAATTAAGTTCTTAACCCGAGGTACCACTGTACTTCATGTCTTCTCACTTCCATTTGACTTAGTCACTTAGGCTGGGCTGGTGGGATTAGGCTTCAGGGGGCGAGTATCTTTCTAGCATATTGCACAGCGACTACTGAAGGAAACGATTAAGCTTCTTCCTTTAGTACAGGCATGGGGAAACTTTTTGCAGTCCTCCAGGCAGACTCTAGCTCCCTTTAGACCCAGCCAGCCTAGCCACTGGTCAAGGATGATGGGACTTGCAGTCCAGCAACACCGGCAGGATCCCTCATCCCAGCTCCAGCAAACCTGTTGTCATCTAATGATCTGCCTGTTTCCTTGGCTGGTTTCCTGCTTCGGATGTATTTAAAATGATTTGTGATTGGCTTGTCTTAAAATGCTAAAAATGTGGGTTCCCCCTCTCCCCTGATTCCTGTGCCCTGCCTTCCTGCCAGCTTGCCAGCCTTCGACAACAAAACTCTTCTTTTTTTGGAAGAAACGTTTTCAGTGGGCCTGACATTCCTTCCCTTCCCAGAGTCTGTTTGTTTTAGCTCTGCTGATGTGCAGGCAGAGGAGTAGTTTGAACAAGATCTTTTCATCCCTTCGTGCCCTGCAGCAAGGCGAAAAGAATGCAATACTGTTAAAAAATTCCCTTTCTTCTTTTTGTGCTTGCATAATTCCAGAATGAGCCTCTCTTTACATCATAGTTGACGGCTGGCCAGGACTTGCTACACAGGTTCGGTTACATAACCCTTTTCACTATAAATACACACATGCCATAATAATGATTAGGAAATTTAATCTCTCCCTTCTGAAAGAGGATAAGCGGCATGTCTCTTTCTGAAATAAAGCTCTGCTGGATCAGACTAAGGGCTCCGTTGAGACCAGAATCCTGTTTCTTGCCATGTCCAGCTGGGTACTTCTGGGACAAGTAAGACATGAAGGCACCAGAATTCTCCCAGTTTTACCTCTGTCTGCCCAGCGATTGGTGTGTGAAGAAGTGTGTTGCTGATAGATGTGGCAATTCCACTTGGCCATCCTGGTGAACCCTAACCACCACGAATTGGTCATCGTTCTGAAGCTGCGATCCTCAGTAGGTGTTGAGTCCCTTTGCAGACTGGTCACAGTAAACCCATTGAAATTAACGGACCTAACTTAGCCATCAAGCAATGACAAACCTAGACAGCATCTTAAAAAGCAGAGACATCACCTTGCCAACAAAGGTCCGTATAGTAAAAGCTATGGTTTTCCCAGTAGTGCTGTATGGAAGTGAGAGCTGGACCATAAAGAAGGCTGATCGCCGAAGAATTGATGCTTTTGAATTATGGTGTTGGAGGAGACTCTTGAGAGTCCCATGGACTGCAAGAAGATCAAACCTATCCATTCTGAAGGAAATCAGCCCTGAGTGCTCACTGGAAGGACAGACCGTGAAGCTGAGGCTCCAATACTTTGGCCACCTCATGAGAAGACTCCCTGGAAAAGACCCTGATGTTGGGAAAGATGGAGGGCACAAGGAGAAGGGGACGACAGAGGACGAGATGGTTGGACAGTGTTCTTGAAGCTACCAGCATGAGTTTGACCAAACTGCGGGAGGCAGTGGAAGACAGGAGTGCCTTGTGTGCTCTCGTCCATGGGGTCACAAAGAGTCGGTCACGACTAAACAACAACAACTTAGTCATGTTAATGAATTCCATTGTGGGTCTCCCCTGAATGTCGCCCAGTGTGACTTAACTTCTAGGGAGGATTGGCCTGCCAAGTCAGAACTCTTGGTCCATCTAAGCTCAGCCCTGTGTCCACTGACTAGCGGTGGCCCTGCAGGATTTCGGGCAAATGTCTCTTCCAGCCCTGTCTGGGAATACTCAAGTGTGAACCTGTGGCCTTTAAAGCATATCCAGTAACACTTAACACTTAACACTTAACCCCTCTCTAATAAGCGTGAACTGGATCTCACAGTTAAAGCTGCCTATAAGCCTATTGGTCATTACCGCATCATGTGGCCATGAGTTCCGCAAGCTGGTTCAGAAGAAGTGTTTCTGGAATGTGAAAGGAAAAACGTTTTCCCCCCGGAGCAGCTTTTCTCCTTATTGTTTGCAGCATTCACCTCCTTGGCAATGTGGCTTTCATAGCCTGAGCCAGCGAGCCACCAGGCTATATGGGTTTCGGTAAATGGTTCCCTCGTGTCCTGATGTTGCCAGGGAAAACTACAGAGGAAACTGCAAGAGGGCATGGACCAGTGGTCCGCCCAGGACTGCAGCCTGCCTTGCTTCTGTGTCGTTCATGTTTGTGGTGGAGCCGTTCCAACCTCTCCTTCGCTTCCATCTGTGCGTTGAGGTTGTTCTTTAAAAAGCCCAGGGCTGTGCTATGCTCCCTGGGGGAAAGAGTGGTCATGAGAAAAGAGGGAAGAGCTAGGATCCCGATAGTCTAGTTGACATTTCTAGTCAAGCAGATGCGAGTTCCACCCCAGCTGTGCAGATCTATTTTTTGCAGGCATTATGCATTAGTCCCAAATACAGGGTCTGAAAGTATCAACATGAAGCTGGTTTGTGAAACAGTCGTTGCTATAACGGGCTAAACTCGGAACGGGGGGAGAGTGGATGCACCCATTGTTTGGTAATAATTTATAGCAGAAAAACAGGTTCCTGGGACCTGTCTCTTGGTCACTCTTATGTGTGACCAAGGCATGGGACTACAGGGTGGGGGCTGTGCAGGTAGGGGCAGGTTTCATTGTTAGTGGCTCCCTTTGAACTCTATGGGGCAATGGAAAGAAGCTACCATTGGGACCTAGTAAGAGGGAGCCCTATCCCCGCTCTTCCAGGTACTATTACAAGGATTCCCTCAAATCTAGGCAGGTCCTTCCTCTGCCCTGCCATCACCTCTGCCTTTCATAATAACCACTTATCACACACAGCAGTTTTAGGGTATTTTTCTGAGCTCCGTGCCCTTCCTCCTTCCCTGCCTGAGCTTGCCCTCTGTGTCTTCATCAGGTTGGGGACAGTCTGCGCGTTCTCTCGTTTTCCTCATAATCGTTGAGATTATTGTCAGGTAGGGGGGATCCGGTTTGAGAACTAAAGACCAAGCTCTCCAAAATCAACAGCACAAGCCACAGTCTATTTAAAGACTTGGACAACTTTGTAATTTTCAAGGCTGCCTTGTACGCTAGTATGGCAAGTCGGAACAGTCGTTCGGCAGGCCGGAAGAAGTGTGGCTGAAATGAGGAGGAAGGCATACAGGGATGACACTGGGCCTTCCCATCACAGCCAAGGGTGTGTTTGTGTGTGTGTGTGTGTGTGTGAGAGAGAGAGAGAGAGAGAGAGAGAGAGAGCACGCGACAGAAAGAGACAGAGCGAGGAAAAAACACCTTTGCCACGTCACTGCCATTGTCTCCTGACCACCCACCCACCACCACATGCTTCTCTACAGCAAAAATATCCACACCCCTGGTCTAAAAAAGGGGGGAGTGAGTATAATTTATCTGGGGATTACTTTCCTGTTTTTAATCCCACATTCTTTTTTATTTTATTTTTATTTACAGTAGTACCTCTAGTTAAGAACTTAATTCGTTCTGGAAGGTCCGTTCTTAACCTGAAACTGTTCTTAACCTGAAGCACCACTTTAACTAATGGGGCCTCCTGCTGCCGCCGCGCTGCTGGAGCACGATTTCTGTTCTTATCCTGAAGCAAAGTTCTTAACCTGAAGCACTATTTCTGGGTTAGCAGAGTCTGTAACCTGAAGCGTATGTAACGTGAAGTGTATGTAACCCGAGGTACCACTGTATTAAAGATTCTCCTCATTTACAAAAGCACACGCATCGTCTCTTTCTCTTTCTTCAGGATGTGTTTTCTACTGATCAGTTACATTTGTCGTGAAACATTGGTGGTATATGCAGTATAGGGTTGGAAAGAAAAAAGGGGGGACGGGAGAGAAGGGGTGGGGTGGTAAAGCTTATGTTCTTTTACTTAGTGTATGCGTGGGGTCTTTGTGTCTGCGTCACTTGGGTAGGTTCTCATTCTGTTCGCTTGTTGTGTTTCCTTTGTGGTGAGAGAGGCTGGGGCGGCCAAGGGTGGTTGTCTTTGGTTGGCCACAGTGGGATTTGTTTGTGCGTGGGGTTGTTGGGTTAAATTAGCCATATTGAATCGTATGCTCTTGGTGGGTGTCAGGAGCTCGGCCTACACATGAGTAGGACCCTGGTAGAGACACATGCCCAACTGGCATATTCTTTCCCTCCTGGTCGCTTGGGAGTTTCAAAAGCTTTCTTCTGCCCGAACATCACAGCGACTGATGCCAACCGACACCGGCACACACAGGGATCCGCAGAGTTTGCACAGTTGGGTAACAGACCTCAGCAACTCAGCATTTTGGGAAACCCAGCCAGATGGGCGGGGTATAAATAATAATAAATTATTATTTTGGCTAATCTGCTTTATTTACATATAAACATACACGGAGCCCCGCAACATGGCTCCCTCTCTCTCTCTCTCTCTAGCATCAGACAGCAAAGAGAAAAAACAAAGTACAATAGTCCCACTTCACGGAACACAGTAACACAAACATCTTGTCTCTGTCACTTCCCACTCTGTAGAGTCAAAACATATACCGTCATGTGATAGACAAAAATCCCATGACTGCAATCATGGAGCAGGAATTCTAACATTGGGTTCATGTTGTTGTCTTGTTGGGCTGTGTGTGTGGTAAAGGGGAGCCATACTGGAGGTAAAGCCGTCTTCTTCTATTTCTCCCCATGTCAGTTTCAATCTATTGGTTAGCTTTTCTAGTAAGGCAGTTTCCCATACCGCTTGAAACCCGTGTTGCATGTTTATTCCTGACAGGTCCCTCCAGTTCCTGGCTATGATATTTCTGGCCGCTGAGAGTAGGTGGGTTATGAGCTCTTTATAGCGTGAATGGGCATTGTTGGAAGATGTTCAGTAGGGCCAATTCTGGGGTGACTTCTAGTCCCCATTTAGTTATTTTGCTTATTTCTTGTACGACTGTTGTCCAGAAGAGTTGGGTTTTGGGGCATTCTCACCACATGTGGAGGTTTGTGCCTGTGGAGGTGCACCCTTTCCAGCATTTTGGTGAGGTTTCCAGGCGCATCAGCGCCAGTTTCCGTGGTGTTAGGTACCATCTGTAAGTGAGTTTCAGGGTGAGTTCTGAGAGCCAGTGTGGTGTAGTGGTTAAGAGTGGTAGACTTGTAATCTGGGGAACCGGGTTCGCGTCTCCGCTCCTCCACATGCAGCTGCTGGGTGACCTTGGGCTAGTCACACTTCTCTGAAGTCTCTCAGCCCCACTCACCTCACAGGGTGTTTGTTGTGGGGGAGGAAGGGAAAGGAGATTGTTAGCCGCTTTGAGACTCCTTCGGGTAGTGATTAAGCAGGATATCAAATCCAAACTCCTCCTCTTCTTCTTCTTCTTTTCTTTCCACTGATACAGATTTAAAGGAAGGTTTAGACCACATTCTAGTCCATTGGGTGGGGTTAATTTCGTAGCCTGTGTCGTCCTCCGATTGTTTATTGATTGTGTCAGGTGGGTTTGTGGGGCTTTGGAGCAGTGTTTTGTATATTGTGAATCCCACATTCTTTTGATAACGGAATACTTGTTTAGTTTTTCCGTTTGCTTATTTCTTCATTTTGGAGCTTCACTGAAATAAAGGGAAGATGACTCTCCACTTCACCCTGTTTTCGCTAACATCGCGCAGTCTAGCTTAGCCTTATCTTGAGAACATTCCCTTCGAGAATGAAACGGGTGATGCTGAGCCATATTAATGCTTGTGCAAACAGAGCTTGTGGACTTGAGGATAAAGAGGCAGGGTACAAATGGTGCATTTTATATTGCTCCTGCCTGGGATGGCAAAGATGTCATATTCGCTTGTAATCCCCCAGTATTCACTAGAGGAGGATCTTGCTAGCCCCTTTTCTGCCAGAGATAAAAAAAAAAGACTTAAGCCAGCTATTTCCTGTACATGCACATGCGGTTGACCTCCTGTAGCCACAGCTTTGACAGCAGTCTTGATTGGGAGAAATTGACAGGCGAAGCAGTTCCTGGCATGAAACCAAGAACACTGTGGCGTTCGTTCTTGCACACATCAAGCTCTTGTTAAAGGCACAGAAGCAGGGAATAATGAAAAGCTGGCAACCCCAGTATCATCCTCGGGCAGATTATGCCACATACGGTCTTCCTTTATTTATATATTTTGACAAAGTAATAATCATAAATGAATAAGAATAAAAACGTGCACCCCACCACCGAGACCATTCCACTGTAACTATCCAACCTCTTGCGATGGTTTGGCCCCTTTCCGTTTTAACAGTACAACTTCTGCAAACACCTTCCATATCTCCTCAAAATCATTTCTCCTGCATATTCCCCGTCTTACCTTAATGGCACGTGTTAATTTATCATTAACAGCTGTATCCCACACCTCTTTATACCATTCTTCCATTTTATATTTTGCTTGCCCCTTCCACTTCCTAGCTATAATAATTCGTCAATAAATTTGTGAGCAAGTCCTTCATAGCCTGCGAACCTTCCACCCCATCGTAAATTGATAATAATGCTACCTCTGGACTTTCGGTCAGCTTTAACCCAGTGATTTCTGTTATCTCCTTAAACACCCTTTGCAAAAAAAAATTGTACATATTTACACCCCCACCACATGTGAACATAATTCCCTGTTTCCTGGCATCCCCTCCAACATAACACCAAATATTCCTTGCTTATTTGGTTTAATCTGATCGGTGTTAAATACCATCTCTAAATTAATTTATAATAATTTTCTTTTACTCTTATAGACAACATTTTCTACATACATTTCTCCCATATTTTCCCCCAGCCTTGACTATCTATTTGCCCTGTTGTCTCCTTTTCCCACACTTCTTTAAATTGATCTAGACAAAGATTAAATGTAAGGTATTGGTTGTGTTTAGAATAGATTTATGAAACATTTAGAAAACTTATTGATTAGAATATTTGTGTGAGATTGTATGGGAAAAATACGGAATAACAGATACAGTCTTGCTTAAAATGTATATAGGAAGTGCAGTGTAAGCCATGGAAGTCAATCAATGAAATTTTATTATTGAGATATTTGTAGAATAAATTTGGAAGAAATTCTTCCAACTTTCCTTCTTGTTCCTCTCTTTATTTTTTCTTTTTCTTTCTTCTTTTCTTCCTTTTTTCTCATTTGTTCTTTTTCTATATGTGTGTGTGCTTATCTGAAATATATATGTATGTATTTGCAATACTTTGCTTATATTTTGTAATAATTATGTTAAATAAATTAAATTTAAAGAAATAAAATAAATTGATCTTCTTGATCCTCCGTTTCTAGTAATATTTTATAAATTTCACTGGTTTCCCCCCGCACACCGGTCGTCCGAGGTGCTTGTGGCATCTAACATGCTGTTCTTTTAACAAGGCCTGTGCGTTTTCCTTGCAGGAAGAGAAGAGGTACCGGAGCACCTATCAAACTGCGGAGGAGTCTGAACGGGAAGCCTTCTCCCTCTTCTCTGCTGCCGTGAGGGAAAGCCACGAGAAAGAGCGGACAAGAGCGGAGAAAACCAAGAACTGGTCTATCATTGGCTCAGTGCTGGGAGCCATTATTGGGGTCCTGGGTTCTACCTACGTCAACCGAGTAAGGCTGCAGGAGCTGAAAGCCTTAGTTTTTGAGGCACAAAAGGGACCTATAAATCTTCAGGAAGCGATCAGGGAGCAGGCCTCCACCTACAACTCCCAGCAGAGGGATCTGAGTGACCTCGTTGCCAACCTGAAGGACATCCTACAAGCAGTGGCCGTGACCTCGCAGGAAGCGACGGGGGATTCCCCGGCCAAAAGCACTCCTCTGAAAACAGACCCTCTCTTAGTTTCCGTCAGGGAGCAGCTGAGCTACTCCAAACAGATGAGCTCCTTCCTCGAGAGTTTGCAGCGGCAGCTTAGCAGCCTGGAAAAAAGTTTAGGGCAAATGGCCGCCGAGGTCCAGAACGTGAAAAGGGGACCCCAGCCCACACCTGGGAGGAAAGCACTGCTTGGTCCTTCGACGGAGGGGAGCAGCCAGACCTTTGAGGCGGAAGACGTGGTTCTGGAACTGTGCAACACGGAAAGGAGACTGGAAGCGCAAATGAAGAGGAACTCGATCTACAGCACGGCGTTCACATGTACTGTCTTTGCTATCACATTCCCCATGCTCTACGTCCTGCTCAAGGGGAATTAGCCCGCAGCCCAGCAAAGAATAATTTGTTGGAGTAATAAAGAGTCATTCACCCTTCAGTCTTGACGGTTTCTTCTTGATAATGTGTGGTTGTTTTTGAAGGCAATTTCCCGAAATTGTACCTCAGACTAGAGCTGCGTGCAAATGTTTTGTGGTAAAACATACAATCTGTATCTCTTTCTCGTGTTCTTTTCCGGACTGCTTATGAAGTTCGCAAGTTCCTTTTTGTGGGGAGACAGATGCAGGGTAAAACAGCTTCCATATTATGTTATCCTAACGGGATAAGCCTTTTTAACGGCTGCTAGCAAAACCTTACTTGATGTACTTTTAAAGAACAAATTAGCAAGGATGCAGATTTTGCAGTTTCCCAGAATCTGCCTTGCAATATCTTCTGAAATTCTAACGTGGGTATCTTCTAAAATGAAATGTGCCAGCTGGTTAGTCGGATGTTTTGGGTTTTGCTAGGTATATGATGCCTCTTTTCTTTCTAATCTTCTCTGCAGGCATCTTCTGTTACCTGCCTACACATGCTTCCTAGCTGGCCAGCTGTGCCATAAAATACTTTTGCACAACATCCCAATCTCTAAGCGGTGCAAGATTCCAGTTGCAAGCATTTACCCAGGGTTCATGTTTCCTCTTGGAAGTGAGGGACAGCGGAAACTGTGGTGTCTTTACAATACTGTATTTTTCGCTCCGCAAGACGCACCTGACCATAAGACGCACCTATTTTTTAGAGGGGGAATGCAAGAAAAAAAATATTCTTTAAAGAGAGCACTGAGCAGAGCCTGTATGCATCCCAAGCTCTGCTCAGCGCTCCCTTTCACGAACTGTGTGGAGCGTGTGTGCGGCGCTTGCAGGCTTTTCCCCGAGCAGGGCAGCCCATCACTGACGGGCTGCCCTTCTCCCTCCTCAGGGAAAAGTCCCCAAGAGCCACACACACGCTCCGTGCGGCTCTTTAAAGGGAGCGCAGCTCTTGGGGGCTTTTCCGGGAGGTGGGGGAAGGGACAGAGGGGCAAAGCCAGAAGCTAGAACAGCAAGAGGGAGCACTGCGGAGCAATCCCTCTTGCTGTTCTGGCTTCTGGGTTAGCCACGCAGCCTGCATTCACTCCATAAGACACACACACATTTCCCCTTACTTTTTAGGAGGGAAAAAGTGCATCTTATAGAGCAAAAGATGCGGTATATGGTTTATTTACACACATATAGATGCCCTGAGCCTATGATGGAGAGGTTCACAGCATTAACACCCCATAAAGGTCTTGATTATCCCATAGCCACAGCCCTAGATTCAAACAAAAATCAAACATTGTTCTCAAACACTGCCCTGACTCATTCTCTCTCCAGCTTGCTGCTGTACTTCTAGGTCACATCGCTGCAACTCAAGCTTTGTCCTTCTTTCTCTGAGTTGAGGGAGGCATTACAACCTTGGGGGCTCAAGCACCTTTCGAAAAAGAAGTTTCTTCCTCCCCTCCCTTCATAAGCAGAATTCTCCAGGTGCACCTTTTCCTGACATGGGAATGCAAGAGATGAAGAAAACCGCACCTGTGGGATTTATTATCACACATCTTTTGAAACCGGAGAGTCATTTGCAATCTTGCACAAAGCCCCCTTTCCACTGTTCTCTTAATGGCCCATTCTTTTCTTCTTTGGCAATCACTCGTAGCCGAGTAAGATTGTCTTCCATTAACACGGTTTTAGCAGTGACTCCATAAGTGACTGTAGAGGCCAATTCTGGATCCGCACGTCCTTCCACAGTGGGGAAATAGGTTTCCAGGCAGGAGAGAGAGTTTGCCAAGCATGCCTTCCTCTTAGCGTGTTTCTCCTTTTCATCCTGAGTTTGAGCATCTTCAAAACCCATGACACCTTTGGTAAAGGCCGTCCTCCAATTGGAGCGCTCGCAGGCCAGTGTTTCCCAGTTGTCTGTGTTTATACTACATTTTTTAAGATTTGCCTTGAGGGAATCTTTGAATCTCTTTTGTTGACCACCGGCATTACGCTTACCATTTTTAAGTTTGGAAAAGAGTACAGTGGTACCTCTGGTTACGAACTTAATTCGTTCCGGAGGTCCGTTCTTAACCTGAAACCGTTCTTAACCTGAGGTACCACTTTAGCTAATGGGGCCTCCTGCTGCCGCCATGCGATTTCTGTTCTCATCATGAGGTAAAGTTCTTAACCCGAGGTACTACTTCCGGGTTAGTGGAGTCTGCAACCCGAAGTGTTTGTAATCCGAGGTGTTTGTAACCCGAGGTACCACTGTACAGTGGTACATTGGTTCTCAAACGGCTTAGTTGTCGAACAAATCAGCTCCCAAATGCCGCAAACCCGGAAGTGAGTGTTCAGGTTTGTGAACATTTTTCAGAAGCCAAATGTCCGACACGGCTTCCGATTGAGTGCAGGAAGCTCCTGCAGCCAATCAGAAGCCATGCCTTGGTTTCTGAAACGTTTTGGGAATCAAACAGACTCCTGGATCGGATTAAGTTTGAGAACCAAGGTACCACTGTACTTGCTTTGGAAGACAAAATGGCCCAGGTGATCACCTCAACACAGGACTCTAGCCTGGCTTATATTTTAACACTTGTTGGATCCTGGGGTTAGAAGGATCCAGCATACAGCTTACCTGCCCACACCCAAAACTCATAACAATTCTATTCTGAAGAGTCATCCTGCTGCTGCCTGGGATAAAGATTTTCAGAGGGCGTTAACAAGTAGCCTCGTGCTAGGCTGTAGTCCTGCCCTAGACACTGCTGTGAGGTTGGGCAGCCCTGCAGCTATGAGCTCTTAAACCCCAGGGACTTTCATTAGGCAGCTCAGCCATTTTATCCTGCAATGAGCAGAGGGCTGCCTAACAGCCTGCTTCCCTTCCACCACCGCAAACATCAGCAGAAGCTTGGGGTCCCCCCCTTATAGCAGAGACAAAGGGAGACAGGGTTGCTCAGACCATTATCAGCTCTCGCAGCTAACCGATTTTTCTTGTGGGTCAACAGACCTTTGCAGTGGGTGTGCTAAGCTCCTCCTGTGTCTTTTCCAGGAAACTGGGTTGAGTCATCGAGGTGCAGAGAGGGCAGGATGGAGAGAATGGAAGGGCCGTTTGCCAGGGTCAGAATGAGCAACTGAGATTCAGAATGGAGGCAGGAAAAGCTTGCGCTGTTGGTACCCAGAGATGTGCTAGGATTGAAAGCCCCTTCACCCATGTCCTGTCACCTGACATAAGCGGCCTCGGCCCAGTATACCTGAAGGAGCGTCTCCACCCCCATCATTCTGCCTGGACGCTGAGGTCCAGCGCCGAGGGCCTTCTGGCGGTTCCCACATTGCGAGAAGCAAAGCTACAGGGAACCAGGCGGAGGGCCATCTTGGTAGTGGCACCCGCCTTGTGGAACGCCCTCCCATCAGTTGTCAAAGAGATAAACAACTACCTGACATTCAGAAGACATCTTAAGGCAGCCCTGTTCAGGGAAGTTTGTAATGTATGACATATTAGTGTATTTTTAGTCTTTGTGGAAGCCGCCCAGAGTCGCTGGGGAAACCCAGCCAGATGGGCGGGGTACAAATAATAAATTATTATTATTAATAATATTATCCCCTAGCTTTTGTCGAACTCACACTCGGCTGCTACAGTTCATGGTTAACCAAAGCTTGGCTCTCTGTGTATATGTACAGCTGTGTGCTAAAAGGTTAAACATCTGCACCTGATCTCTGTTGACTTTTGCTGATTTCCTCTCAATAATAATAATAATTTATTATTTATACCCCGCCCATCTGGCTGAGTTTCCCCAGCCACTCTGGGCGGCTCCCAATTGAGTGTTAAAAGCAACACAGCATTAAATATTAAAAGCTTCCCTAAACAGGGCTGCCTTCAGATGTCTTTTAAAGATAGGATAGCTGCTTATTTCCTTCACATCTGAAGGGAGGGTGTTCCGCGGGGCGGGCGCCACTACCAAGAAGGCCCTCTGTCTGGTTCCCTGTAACCTCGATATGAGGGAACTGCCAGAAGGCCCTCGGCGCTGGATCTCAATAGTCAATAATTGTGCCTGTATTGTTCATTCCTCGGGCTTATATGCCATCCTTCTTCAAGCCCTTGATCCCTTCAGCTGCCTTTGTGCTGTTCAGCTCTCTTACCCTTCATGACGGGTTGCATGGATGGGTTTATTTGCCCCCCCCCTTTTATTTTCAAAACCATTTTGTAGGCTAGGTTAGGCGGAGGGGCCTGGGACCAGCTCTAGCACAGTGAGGCCAGTCCATACACATTTGCAGGGGGAGCGTGTGCTGCCAAACCTCCATCCTTGCCTCGCACTGCCCCCCCCCCATTTATTTTTCACTTCACATGGCACGACCTTTCCTGTGGTGCAGGGGGAGTTGTGCTTGTCTGCACCTGCCATACCCCTTGCAGGACTCTGTCTGGCTGCATGCAAGTACAGTGGTACCTTGGTTCTCATACGCCTTGGTACTCAAAACAACTTGGAACCCAAACACTACAAACCCGGAAGTAAGTGTTCCGGTTTGCAAACTTTTTTTCGAAAGCCGGACCTGCTCCGTTTGAGTGTTACACTTCCGTTTTGAGTGTTACGCCGCGGTCTCTCTGTTTTTGCTATTTCTTTTGTGTTTCTGTTTTTGCGGCTTTTTCGTTTTGTTTTCGTGACTGTGGGGAACCCAGTTCAGCTACTGATTGACTGATTGATTGATTGTGTGACTGCAGTACATTGTTTATTGCTTTCATTTTATGGATCAGTGGCCTCGTTAAATAGTAAACTTCATGTTAAATTGCTGTTTTGGGGGTTGTTTTTAAAAGCCTGGAATGGATTAATCCATTTTACATTACTTTCTATGGGAAAGTGTGCCTTGGTTTTGGAAAGCTTTGGTTTTGGAACAGACTTCCGGAACAGATTAAGTTTGAGAACCAGGTACTTTATAACAACTACTGTTTTCATTTCTACAACTCTGCAAAATAAATCTATTGTAGTTTAATTGCTTTTTAACTATTATAGTTTACACGTTTTTAGCTTTATCCATTTTACCTGTACAGTACTGCTATATATGTGTAAGCCGCCTTGAGTCACGATCTGGGGAAGAGGTGGGATAATAATAGTTAATAGTAATAATTAAGTGTTCTGAGAGGCAATTCCAAGGGAAAAAGGGCAGCCTCTTTGCCTCATGGTGGAGCCAGTCCTTCACGGGAATCTCTATAATGCTCCACAGCAGCAGAAAAAGCTTCGGCTATGTTCTGTCCTGAAAGGCCATCCTCCCTCTTCTCCTATGATCCAAAGTAAGCAGGATTTCCTTCCTTTCTTCCTTCCTTCCTTCCGCCACTGCAATAGACAAGAAGGCAAGGTGACTGGACAGACCAAGGGGAGGAATGGGGCAAGAGCCATAACAGAATGTACAACAGTCAAGGATGCCCTGTGGCACTTTAAAAGGCTTTAACGCATTTATTGCGGCCTAAGCTTCCATGAATAGGGACGTGGGTGGCGCTGTGGGTTAAACCACAGAGCCTAGGACTTGCTGATCAGAAGGTTGGCGGTTCAAATCCCCGCGACGGGGTGATCTCCCGTTGCTCGGTCCCTGCTCCTGCCAACCTAGCAGTTCAAAAGCATGTCAAAGTGCAAGTAGATAAATAGGTACCGCTCTGGCGGGAAGGTAAACGGTGTTTCCGTGCGCTGCTCTGGTTCGCCAGAAGCGGCTTAGTCATGCTGGCCACATGACCCGGAAGCTGTACACCGGCTCCCTCAGCCAAGAAAGCGAGATGAGCGCCGCAACCCCAGGGTCGTTCACGACTGGACCTAATGGTCAGGGATCCCTTTACCTTTAAGCTTCCATGAATTCAAGTCCACTTTGTCAGATGCATGAAGTGAAATCTTAGTTGGCAGGCATATAAAGGAGTAAATTGCAAGGTGGGAGTTGAATGGCAATGGGATGCAGAACGTTACAGTTGGTGATCGCTGAGGGGAGAGCAGTAGCTCAGTGGCAGAACATTTGCCTTCCGCGCAGAAGGTCAATCCCCGGTGGTTCCAGGTAGGGCTGAGAAATACTCTCTGCCACAATCCCTATGGAGCTGCTGCCAGTTGGTGTGGGCGATACCAATCTAGATGGAGCAATGTGCCTGACTCAGCTTCCTGTGTTCCTAATCTGAGCTTAAATGTACTTATTTATTGTATTAGATTTCTGTCCATCTACCCTTCCTCCCAAAGGAGCGCGGAGCTACAAAGAATAATCCCATTTCACACACACACACTATTAAAAGCATTTTAAAACAGCTGAGTATTCTTACAGGTAATCAGTTAATGGTTGCCAGGATCTGTGGGTTTGTATCCAGCGTGTCACCAAGTTAAACACACTTAGTGGGATACTTGAAATTTTCTGCGCCAGCTGCAGACCGTTGCTTCACAAGACAGTGCTGGTAACTTTCAAATAATTGTGGAATGGGAAGGGACACCAAAGGTCATCTATTCCTACCCCCTGCAATGCAGGAACCACACCTAAAGAATCCCTGACAGTTGGCCATCAAACTTCTGTTTAAAAACCTCCAATGAAGGATTTTTAAAAACACTTTGATTGTGCAAGGAGTTTCTGCTAGCGCAGCTGTTGCATAAGATTCCTCTTGGTTGCCCAGCATTAAATCTCAGCCACCCATTAACTCAAGAGCCCTTGTGCTAGCAGACAGGGAAAGCTGGATGTAACCCAGTATATTTCGTGTTTTAAAATTCCTCCCGAATGATTTGAGGAAATCATAGGCCTCACATCAAGTCAGGCCACTGGTTTATCTAGCTTATTATTGTCTACACCGGTGGTTTTCAACCTGTGGGTCCCCAGCATAGCTGTCAACCGTCCCTTATTTGGCGGGAAACGCCCTTATCCTAGCGCTGTGTCCCGCTGCTGTCACTTATTGATGATGTCCCTTAAATTTCCCGGGTTTCACGCTCGCCCGGCTTGGGAGGGAAGCAGCGGCTCGGGGTCCTCTGCTGCGAGAGAGAGCGTGCGCACAAGCTGCTGCGTCTCCGTCTCCCCCTTTTCCCCCTCAGGGGCGCGTCGTGAGGTGGCGGCGGGCGGGCAGGCAGCCCCTCTCTTGCGAGACTTCCGCTGCGCTGCCAGGGGAAGCTGGAGGCGGCAGTGGCGGCGGCTGAGGAGGCGGCCTGAGGGAGGAGGAAGAGGAGGGGATGGGGAGGGACGCAGAAGGGTGGCGCTTCAGCGGACGCTGTGGCGCCACTACTGCCTCATGCCAGGCTCGCTGGCGACGTGGGCGAGAGTCTCCCTCTCTCTCTTGGGTGGGGAAGGGCCGATGGAACTCCTCGCGCCAGGATGACGGCAGCCCCAACGTGCTGCTTAGCATACCCTCCAACCAGTGCAGCACCTTAATGTAGTGATTTCCCCCTCTGCATCCCTTTCATAACTCTATTTTTATAAATCATTTGTCCATCCATAGTTCAATTTTTTACTACAAGTTTTCTGTCAATCCTACCAATGTAACTCTTACAATAGCTTTTCAAATAAATTATAAACTTTCCCCATTCTTTATTAAAGAGGTCCTCTTCCTAGATTCTAATTCTGCCTGTAAGCTTTGCCATCTCGACGTCGTTCATCAGTTTTGTCTGCCGCTCTTCTTTGGTCGGAGTTGTAGACCCTTAGGATCATCTAGTCCAACCCCCTGCAAAACACAGTCGCAGCAAAAGCAGCATGGCTCCATCAGTGGTGGATTTCTGTATAAGCTAAGCAAAATCCCTTATTTTGGCTGCTGATCCCTTATTTTCGAGGCTACTGGTCCCTTATTTTCAAATCTGTAAGTTGACAGCTATGGTCCCCAGATGTTGTTGGACTACAACTCCCATCATCCCTGAGCTCTGGCCTTGCTAGCTAGGGGTGATGGGAGTTGTAGTTCAACATCTGGGGACCCACAGGTTGAGACTTCCTCCCGCCCCCAGCCCTACTGGGAGGACACCAAGGATTGAACCTGCGACCTCCTGCATGCAAAGCGGGTGCTCTGCCTCTGAGCTACAGCTCTTCTATATACTCCGTACCAGGAAGGGTGTTCCATAAACGGGGAAGCTACCGAGAAGACCGTGTCACTGGTCAGCGCTCCAAGCTTGATCATAGACGAAGGGATAGCTCAGTCGGTAGAGCATGAGACTCTTAAACTCAGGGTTGTGGGTTCAAGATCCACGCTGGGCAAAAGATTCCTGCATTGCAGGGGGCGAACTAGATGATCCTTGGGATCCCTCCCGACTCTACAATGCTATGAAATAAATGAGGGAGAGGGATCCTGCTGGAGTAGTCACAAGCAAAAAATGAAAAATCATATTAACACTCAGGGAACAATATTGGTATAACAGCTTATTTGTGGACCAATTTTTGGAGCTATTCCTTGAACTGAATGTTCAGGGTGCTTCTTGTCTCACCTGACCCAGTAGCCTGGGGTAGCTCTGGGTGGCTGAGGTGGTTGTAGTATCGCCTATTGTGGAGCTGGGAGCCATTCAGGAGGAACAGTTACTGATAGCACTGGCATCCCGGCATCGGTAAACTAATATGCAGCGTAATAAAAACATTGATTACATTGTTTACCCTTAATAAATCTTTATTACGTGTAGTGCAATAACAATATTTTAAATCTCAGTTTAATTTAAAATTGTTGGCACTAAACTGCTGGGCACAGGACTATGTGAGGACAGATTCATGCCACCCTGAGCGTTCATATACAGCGGTACCTCAGGTTAAGTACTTAATTCGTTCCGGAAGTCCGTACTTAACCTGAAACTGTTCTTAACCTGAAGCACCACTTTAACTAATGGGGCCGCGCGATTTCTGTTCTCATCCTGAAGCAAAGTTCTTAACCTGAAGCACTATTTCTGGGTTAGTGGAGTCTGTAACCTGAAGTGTATGTAACCTGAAGCGTATGTAACCCGAGGTACCACTGTATATCAAACTGACTTTTGCTTCTGTGCTCATGTTTAATTTATTTTCTTTTCTTTTCAGGGTCGATACTGGTTTTTTTTCTATCTCCTGCAGCTTGAACCACAATCCGACAGGCAGACATTCACAAAGCGATGCTTTCTACCAGCCTTGCATTGACATGCCAGGAAAAGCTGCTCCTGGTGAATGTGCAGCCTGCCATTTACCTTCATCTCTTTCTTTCTTTTTTAAAATCCCTTGACCAGCTTGCTGTTCCCTTTAAATTATTCTGTTTTTTTGGTCACCCACAAACCTTTCAAACTATCTCTCCAAAGGTTGTTTTCGGGAAACCCCTCGGTCATAACCACGGAGTAACTCGGATGACAAAGGACCTATTTAGAAACCCAAGGCCGCTGTTACAAAGCCGGCAGGCCCACAACAGTTTTTTAAGGGTTTGGCTTTACTAGCGCTCTGTATGCCAATTTCCTGAACGCTTCCTAGAAAGAAATTTTGACATCCCCCTCAAGGGCTCTAATTATTAATTTAATGGTGGCTTTCTTTTGACGCTTGCGACACTTTGGTCTCGGAGGAAGCTGGAAACAATCCCCTGTAAAACTCGGCCGGAATTGTGGGGGTTTATTTATCAGCTCTTTTTGGGGGGTTACGGAGCTGTTTCTTTTAGGCTAGCAAAGGTCATAATTGCCTTGTGACTGAGACCGGCGTTGGCCAAGCCGAAAGAATGCCCTGCTTGTTAGCGCTCGGCTCTGCAATCGGGTCGCACTCTGGCCTCATTCTGGCCTTCCAGCAGAAACCAAAGGCCCGAAAAGAATCCCCCATCGAGTGTGGGAGAGGGCTGCGGACTCGCCTCTTATTCAGCACAGCAGCGGCTTTGCGGAAAAAAAGAAACTATAGAAACAATGAAAGCCCTCTCTAGTTCCCAGGTGCCTGTAATGAGGGAACTGACTAATTTCCATGTTTAATTTGGGAGAGGGCAAGCTGGGGGAGGTTTTTGTGGCTGCTGGAAGGCTGCCTGGAAGATATTCAGCCATCCTCCTCTTTACCCCCTGATAGAAACCAATCTTTCCTGGGCTTGCCAAGAGTTCCCGCTACCAGGCCACATTCATCTTGCAAACCAGCAGGGGGAAGAACTCTCCAGGACAAAAAACAAGTTCTTAAATGAGGGGACTAATTCCCCTTCCCCCAGCCTCAATATGAGTGGTTCTGCAATTCTAATACAGTGGTACCTTGGGTTACATATGCTTCAGGTTACATATGCTTCAGGTTACAGACTCCGCTAACCCAGAAATATTACCTCGGGTTCAGAACTTTGCTTCAGGATGAGAACAGAAATAGTGCTCTGGCGGCGCGGCAACAGCAGGAAGCCCCATTAGCTACAGTGGTGCTTCAGGTTAAGAACAGTTTCAGGTTAAGAACGGACCTCCGGAATGAATTAAGTACTTAACCCGAGGTACCACTGTATCTATCTCGAGAGCAAGCAGATGCTCAACAGGCAAAGCTTTTTCCAAGATTGGGGGCGGGGGAATCATTTAGAATGGATGCTAGGTTGTGGGGCAGGGGGCGCAGAACCTCAGATTTGTGTTGATTTTTCCTGATTTTTTTGTGGTGGTAGTTCCCGCCCTGGCTACACCTACGTCATCTAGGGTTTTAAAATACCAGTGGTACCTCGGGTTACAGATGCTTCAGGTTACAGACGCTTCAGGTTACAGACTCTGCTAACCCAGAAATAGTACCTCGGGTTAAGAACTTTGCTTCAGGATGAGAACAGAAATTGTGTGGTGGCAGGGTGGCAGCAGCGGGAGGCCCCATTAGCTAAAGTGGTACCTCAGGTTAAGAACAATTTCAGGTTAAGAAGGCAGGCACCTCCAGAACGAATTAAGCTCTTAACCCGAGGTACCACTGTATATAAGCTGTAACCCAGCTGCTATAGACATAGGAGTCCAGGGGCACATCTGCACCATCCTTTTAAAGCAGTTTTAAGCCCACTTTAAACAATCAAGGCTTCCCCCAAAGAATTATGGGAGCTGTGGTTTGTTACGGGTGCTGAGAGTTGTTAGCAGACACTGAACTCTCCAATTCACAATATCCAGAGTTGAGCCCTCTTTGTAGCTCAGTGAGTGGCAATAGGTGCACAGCTGTCAACCGTCCCTTATTTGGCTGGAAAGTCCCTTAGCCCAGCACTGTGTCCCGCTGCTGTCCCTTATTGATGATGTCCCTTAAATTTCCCGGGTTTCAAAGGAAGCAGCTCCTCTCCCTCCCTCCCTGCCGGCCAGGGAGGAGGGAGGCTCCAACTGTGTTGCTTGGCTGCGTTGCTCACCCAATAAGGAGGCTAAGAACGACTGGGGGGTGGAGCTTGCATGCCTCGGCTGCGTTGTCTGGGGACTCGCCTTTGCTCAGCGCTTCCCAGCGGAGAGGTGACGGTGGTTTTCCTTGCTGCATCCCCTTTGCCAGGTTGCTGCGCTGTAGGAACCACCGCTTGAGGCTTCGTTTGGCTGCTGGCTGGGCTTTCTGCCTTTGGCTTGGAGGGGCTCAGAAGTCGAACATACCTGTGCTCCGAAAATCCCTTATTTTGGCTGCTGATTGCTTATTTCCGAGGCTGCTGGTCCCTTATTTTCAAATCTGTAAGTTGACAGCTATGGATAGGTGTCTCCTGACAACTCTTTACCAACCTTTATTTCCCTATTTCCCAGGTGCCTTTGAGGGAAACCATGATTGTCAAAAGTGGTGTGTCACGGTCATTTAAAAGTGGTGCTGACGTGATTGAAGTGTGAGTGCGTTTGTGTTGTGGCGGCAACAATTGCAATCGCAATCGGTACATCCTATCTGGAAGTAATGGCATCTGACCTAGAAGAGAGGGGTGCCCCTTTCGCTCGCTGGCAAAAGCGTCATCTCTTGCATTCCCATGTCATAGGGCTGCCATACGGGCATTAGTAGGATTTCAAACGCAGAATTGACGCCCAATGCTTTGGCAAGTCAATCAAAAAAATTGTGGGGTTTTGGGTCTTTTTGAAAGCTCCACAACTTTGGGTGGTTTTAGCAACCCTACCATGTCAAGAAAAGCCATGAACCATGCTTGTGACAGGACGACCCACCCAGGTTGCTATTTGCTCACAGACACATGTGGACAGCTTTTAATTGATATTTCTTATTACATTTGCACTGGTCCCATCACCTCCTGGCAAATAGAAGGGGAAGAAATGGAGGCAGTGAGAGATTTTACTGTCTTGGGCTCCATGATCACTGCAGATGGTGTAAGCAGTCACGAAATTAAAAGACGCCAGCTTCTTGGGAGAAAAGCAATGACAAACCTAGACAGCATCTTAAAAAGCAGAGACATCACCTTGCCAACAAAGGTCCGTAGAGTTAAAGCTATGGTTTTTCCAGTAGTGATGTATGGAAGTGAGAGCTGGACCAGAAAGAAGGCTGATCGCCGAAGAATTGATGCTTTTGAATTCTGGTGCTGGAGGAGACTCTTAAGAGTCCCATGGACTGCAAGAAGATCAAACACATCCATTCTGAAGGAAATCAGCCCTGAGTGCTCACTGGAAGGACAGATCCTGAACCTGAGGCTCCAGTACTTTGGCCACCTCATGAGAAGAGAAGACTCCCTGGAAAAGACCCTGATGTTGGGAAAGATGGAGGGCACAAGGAGAAGGGGACGAGAGAGGACGAGATGGTTGGACAGTGTTCTCGAAGCTACCAGCATGAGTTTGACCAAACTGCAGGAGGCAGTGGAAGACAGGAGTGCCTGGCGTGTTCTGGTCCATGGGGTCACAAAGAGTCGGACACGACTAAATAACAACATTACATTTGCATTCCACCTTTCCTTCATGAGTCCAAGGTGGCTCCCCACAGAGGCAGTTTTGGGGGGACTGGACGCTGCGCCAAGGGGGCGCCACAACGATGCTGCAGAACAGAGTGTGAGAGGTGGGGCTGCCGGATTTTAGTGATGCCCAGAAATGTGGGAGGCCGGTGTCGGCCGCTGCTCCCCCACACCTCCATTTTGCCCTCACAACGGCCACGTGAGGTAGGCTCAGGCCTAGTGGGAGCAACAGGCGCCAGACCACCCAGGGAGCTTGAAGGGCCGAGTGCGGATCTGA